ACCCCTATCAGATTGACCCGTGGCCCTGTCTGTGAGAGAAAGGTCTGGATGGATGATGGACAGGGGAGGGCTAGGGCTCTGGGTGAGCTCGCTGACCAAGAGCCAGCAAGTGAGCCAATAAGCAAAGCTCCTCTGTGGCTCCTGCTTTAGTTCCTGCCCCAGCTTCCGTCAGTGACACACTGTGACTGGGATGGATAAGCCAGATAAACCCTTTCCTCCCTCAAGATGCTTTTGGTTTTGGTCAGGGTTTTGACACAGTAACAGAGAAGCAAACTAGACTAGGCCACTAGCTCCAGCTGGGACCCCAACCCCTCAAATCTAGCAGTGTATCCCCAAGATCTCCACATCTAATCACCCCTCCCTGACCAGGCCTTGCTATCCTAAGTTTGGGGCTGAGCCAGGCTGGCTCCTGAGGTCCCCAGTATACAGCCAGCTGTCTGTCACCTGCTTCGGGTCTAGGAGCAACACTCCCTCTAGGGTCTGCGCCTCAGGGGACAGTGGCTTCCCCTCCCTTTTATCTACTTGGACCCACTGGGATGTGGGAGAATTTGGTCATATTTCCTTTCTTCTTTCATGGCACTGAGTAATTTCAGAAGTGTGTGGCTGGGGCCACAGCTCCATGCGTGGAATGCTCGCCCACTTGTCCAGCATGCACAAGGCAGAGGGTTGGATCCTCAGCACCATGAGAGCCCCACACAGTGGCCTAATGACCACATGGAGGAAACTTAGTTGTGAGTGAAGGGAACCAGTATGAAAAGCCACACACACTTGGATTCCACTCATGATTCTAGGAAAGACAAAATGTGGAGGTTGTTGAGAAAAACAAAAATTCAAGAATTTAGGGACTTTGGGGAAGGGAGGGTCAGACAGGCAGTACAGAGAGGAAAGGGTCTTGGGACAGTGGCACTGTCAGGTAACCAGGCAGCAGGGATCCTTCATTCCACTGTCCCAGCACTCAGGATGAGAGCAACCTCACTGTCAACTATGGGCTTCGAGACAGAAGCTTAAGTTGATTTAGGTCTGAGATGAAGTTTCACACTGCCTGGAAGAATTGAGGGGAGTGGGCTGTACACTCCAGGCTTTACTCCATTCTTCTAGGAATCAAAAGTGCATGCAAACAGACAGACAGACAGACAGATAGTTGCCTGATACACAGATTGACAGATGATATAGATAACTGATAAAGGGGGCTGGAGAGATGGCTCAGTGGTTAAGAGCAGTGGCTGCTCTTCCAGAGGTTCTGAGTTCAATTCCCAGCAACCACATGGTGGCCCACAACCATCGGTAATGAGATCTGGTGTCCTCTTCTGGCCTTCAGGCATACATGGAGGCAGAATGTTGAATACATAATAAATAAATAAATAAATAAATAAATAAATAAATAAATACTGATAAAGTAGAGAGTTGATAGATGATAGATTGTCTAACTGTAAAGTATTAATGTGTTAAACAGTACATAGGTGTATCTTAAGGCAGCTGGGGACAAGAAACCTCTTGTCTACTCCACTCATGGTCTGGTGACCCTGGACTCTCTGAGAAACCCCAACACTGGTCCCTGGGGAGTGGTGTGTGCCGTTAGAAGACTGTCCCAGAAGCAGAAGGGCCTCTTGGGGAGTTGAACCTAAAGTTGTCCCTTATCACTAGAGGACAGCTGTGTCTCGGATCTAAACAGCTGCAGTTACCATCCCAGCTCCATCCTTGGACCTCTGGGCCTTCCCTCCTGCAGTCACAGGGGACCCTGTGTGGGACATCTTTCTTCCGTACCTGCCCTCCTCCATACCCTGACCTCCAGAGGTTGTAAGCAGCCTCCTGACCTCTCAGGGCACAGACTCAGGTTCCCCATGGGGAAGCCTGAGTGTTGTAGGCGTTCCCTTCCGTTTTCCAATGTGCACAGTTAGTCACACTTCCCTTTTGTGACCAGACCACCCCGTGCAACTATAGTGCCTCCACTGGACTGAATCACGCCCTGCTCATTCTTAGACATTTCCTGTGCTGGGCACCCTAGCACGCCCCACCTCCTACCCCTATCTCCTAGAACGTGACAGAACATGTGTCCCCTCTTTGCTACTCTGCCAGGCCGGGTGGAGTTAAATGTCCATATGTCCCCAAACCTTGAACTTCACCAGCCATCCCCTCCCTACTTCCGAGGTCCTCAGGAAATGTCCAGAGTCCACCCTGGATGTTCTGACGAAAGAGAAGAAACAGTGTTTGGCTGTCAGGCTGGAAAGCCCCCATGCCCTCCCCCTGGTCATTCCCCAGCAGGCATCCATGCATAAGCTCCCACGGCCCAAAGTCGAGGCTAAGAGCAGTCAGGAGGGCCAGTTGCCAAGGCAACAGGTCTGCAGAAATACTGGCAGCTCTCAACGCTCAATTATTCAAGACCTCATTACACAGTCTTCACATTGGCCCCTCCGTTCCTTCTCCACTCCCCAGAGGACCACATGGAAGCCATTTAGCCTTTCCAAGGCTGGTCTTTCCCTCCATTCTTACCTCAGAAACTAGTTGGGGTTTGTGGTTTTCTGGTTATAGCGGGGACAGGTATTCCAACCTTGAGAACCAAGGCAGGATGGCAACACCAGCAGAAGCGGCAAGCAGAGGGAAGTGCTGCCGGGGTTCTGGGTGCATTTAAACTGGGCCAGACTGGTCCTCTGTCTTCTGAACATACATGATCTCATACAAGCAAGCTGAGAAGCACCTAGGTAGGATCGGAAACTGAGGCCAGCTCATTATTTGACTTGTGCATCCCTCATATTCCAAAAGTGTTAAGTGATAAGAAAAGTTGTAAGGGGCAGGGAAGGCAGTTGAGTCGGCAAGGTGCTTGCTTGCACGAGGACCGGACTTCCATCCCCGGCACTGATGGTTTTTAAAAAGCCAAAAGCCAAGTGCTGCTCACCTGTAATCGCAAGTCAGAAGAGGTAAAGACAGAGGACCTTGGGGTTTGCTGGTCCAAGTCAAAGAGCTCCGGTGCAGTGAGAGACCTTGCCTCAAAAAAACAAGATGGAACCAAGCATAGTAGCACATGCCTTGAATCCCAGTACTCAGAAGCCAAGACCAGGATGGTCTGTTTCAAGCCAGCCTGGTCTATATAACAAATTCTAGGCTAGCCAGGGTAGACAGACAGACAGACAGACATAGAGAAATGGATGGACTTATAGATGATAGATAGATAGATAGATAGATAGATAGATAGATAGATAATGAGGAACATTGAAGAAGATACCCAGCATGACCTCCAGCCTGTACATGTATGTGCACACACATAGAACACACAGAAACTGTAACCATTCACACCCTTATGAGGGTTTTTCTATAAAAGATTTTTTTTTATTAGGTTTCATCCCCAACACCACCCAGCCCGTTCCTGGGCCCTCTGACAATTACAGCTTAGGATCATGGGACTTCCCATCGACTTCCACATTATGACATCAATTCCCGGGGCCCTGAAGGATTGACCCTCTGCTTTTGAAGGTCTGGACAGTACATCAGAGACACAGAGATGGTAAACCACGAGCGGGTGGCAACATACGTGCAGTTCCTGATACAGGAAGGCTGAGGCAGGAGGATCACCTAAATCCAGGACTTTGAATCCAGACTTGGTGACATAGCATAACCACAACTCAAGCAAACAAAACCAGACAATGGAATGAACAAAGGTCCATTGTGGTCCTAGCTTGTGAGATGAAGGGAACAGACTTCTAGGCAGGATCACAATGATTATACTACACCAGCCAGGCCAGGGAGACAACCATACAACTCATTCAGAAGACCTGATAGAAAAGAATGCAACGCACATCGACCTGGAGGGTCTGCAATCAATGGGGGAGAGAGGAGAGAGAGAGAGAGAGAGAGAGAGAGAGAGAGAGAGAGAGAGAGACCCCAGGACTTCATGCCCTCAGGGAACTTGACAATCTAGTTTGATGAAGGGCTCGGTGGGGTTGAAGACCTGGAGAGACAAGTCTGGGCAGGGTGTGGGAGCCACAGGATCTTCACGGGTTCTGTCAAAGTGTAAGTAGTACCACACTTCCAGACAAGCTCTACTTCTCCCTACAAGCCTTGCCTTTCAAGATGCCTTGAAAGGCCAGAGTGAGCCAGCCCATAATTTATGGCCTGAAGGCTCCTTTAAGTGTAAAAACATCACCCTGTCCTTTGGGCCCAGGGGGTGATTGTTAGCCTCCTGGGACTGTCTTAACCCTGAAGGTTCAGAGAGGCTTTCTAGGAGTCAGCTTGCCTCCTGCAGCTGGAGGAGACCCTCTAGGCAGCCTAACAGACGAACCCTAGCCGGCTAACACCTAGGATGTCTGGCCCTAGGGTTTCCTTCTACCTGCCTTTTCTCTCAGCAAGCCCCTCCCATTCCTGGTGAGCGCCAGGAACCTCAGCCCAAGGGCAAGAGCCTCCAGGCCAAAACAATAGAGGTCGAAAAGTCTCGCAAGGGGAGGGCTAGGAACTGCGGGACGCTTAAGGCACCGGCGTCCCTTGAAATTCTGTTTTTTAAAAGTTTAAAAAGTAAAAAGAAAAAAAAGTTTAAAAAGTAAAAGGACGTTGTTCTCAAATTACTTTTCTGCGCAAGGGGTATGATTGGGGGGCGGGGGTGGGAGGCTCGTGGCCTGGTTCCAGGCTTCCCAGGCTCCTGGCCTGTGTATCTTGTGCCCTTTCACTGACTCCCAGTTTGGGGACTAAACCACGCGTGCAGGCATCAAGCAGTCAGAAGCCCGTTCTCATTACGCATGTGTCCAATCACTGCGACAAGACTGTCACACGACAAGGGTGGACAGGGGAACCATAGCCTGCTCGGGTCTGTGTCCAGAGCAGGACTAACATCCTGGGCACCGGGCCAGCTCTGCAAAGGTCGCAGGGACAGGGACAGGGGCAGGCCTGTCGCAGAGGTTGCGGACAGTGCAGCCTAGCCGAGCATTGGCGCCGCCAGGGCGAGTAGAGAGCGGACACCCGAGGGACAGAGCTGGCAGCCGGCTGGCGCCAAGAGAACACGGGGGCGCACTCACCCTCCCTGGTCTTCTTCTTCCTCGCCAGTGTGCCGCCCAATTTGCCCAGGAAAGATTCGTCCTTCTTCATCTTGGGGGCCCGCGGGGTGGGCGATCGTGGTGGCGCGGAGGACATATGGGAGTGCGCGCCACCCAACGCCGGCCGGGGAGTGGCTAGGAGGGCGCGGCCGCGGCTTCCCCGCCCCTGCCTACTGACCTCGAGGTCCCGCTGCTACTACTGAGCTCCCCCTGAGCTCCCGCTCACAACACAGCCGGACCCTGCGCGTGGTGCCAGGCACTACCGACCCCCTTTTGTGCGGCCTCAGCATGTTGGAAGCCCAGAATCAATTAGTCCCACAAATGTGTAAAGTCAGCTGTTGAGTCTCGGCCAGGATCCCGGCATCCCTTATTGGGTCGATGCTTGGGGTGTAATGGGTGCCCTTGCGGGACAGTGGCCTCACACACAGTGACCCTTCCCCCAAGGCAAGCTCAGCCAAAGACTTCCACGGGAGCCACCTACCAGCTCGGGGGTGGGGGGTGGGGCGGAGGGTCAGGAAGGTCACCTGGAGGAAGAACAAAGGCTCAGGGAAGGATGTTAGGTGAACAACCTGGCCAGGTTTTGAGTTGCACCAAATTGACTGTCGCTGACGTGGGAACAGACGATGATGAACAGGAATGAAGCCAGGCAGGGAAGTTTACTAGGAGGAAAGTGAAAGGGTTTCTAGGGACTCTGCGGCCAGAAGCAGCGTGAGAGCCGAGGCAGGCGCAGGCTGAGGGAGAGCCACTGGCCTGTGGTTGGAGGAGGAGGGTGGGTGCGCGGTGCAGCTGAGATAGGAGCTATCAGGACCTGGGCTGGAGTGAAGCTGCTCCACCTAATCTTAGCGTCGGGTTGGGGGTGGCTCCCTGGGGTAGGGGTGGGTTGGGGATAGTTCCCTCTCCCTTTGTGCAGGCTCCAGAGCCTCACTCCCTCTGGCGAGCGATTTCAGTTCAGTACAGGAAATATTAACAATTTACATTGGCGGAAGGGGTGACCAAGCTGGCCTCGCCTTGGAGTTTGCCATGGAGAACGGGGTGCCCACTACCTATGGAGATACAAGACAAAGGTAGAATGGGGACAGTAGGGACTCCAGGAGGTGGAGAAAGAGCAGAGGGCCAGGATTTAGGAAGAAATGGGGAAGAGGGTTGTTTCAGAGACAAAGTAAAGAATCGCCTCCCTTCACAAGAAGAGAAAGAAAACGCACAATCCTAGTAGCTCCTGTCTCTACAGAGCCACCTTCCTGCCCTCCTGATGCCACAGGCCCTTTGGCCTCCCCTGACCTGCTCCTCCGTGCTGAGCCTGCTTCCCTCTTAGCCATGGGGGAGCCTCTAGATCCCAGGATTGCGATGGTCAATCTGATTGTCAACTTGACCAACTCCAGGACCACCTTGGAAATGAACCTCTGGACGCACCCAGGGGATTACCTGTTAAGGTTTTCTGTCTCTTTAAGAGACAAGCCACGCCCACTCCCACTCCGCTCCCTCCCCCATCTGCTGAGGCAGGCTGATCTCCAGCTTCCGGCCTGAGCTCACTCTCTTTTCCATCTTCCTCTCTCTCTCTCTCTCTCTCTCTCTCTCTCTCTCTCTCTCTCTCCCTCCCTCTCTCTCTGTCCCCCCCTTCACCCTTCCTCCTCCATAACCCCCTAAATAAACATTCAACCTCACCCTGCATGTCGTGTCTATCCATGTTTCTGTCTTCTGCCCGCCCGCCATGTATCTCCCTGCCTGGGACCAGCCATTGCTCAGGGACCAGCAGCCGTCTCTGCCTGGGGCCCGCTGTCTGCTGCCACATGGCCCGCCACTACCGCTCTGAGACCAGCAGCCGTCTCTGCCTGGGACTGGCTGCTCCCAGGGCCCGCTGCCTGCTACCACATGGCCCGCTACCACCATTTGGGACCTACAGCATTTCTGCTGCCTACTGCCGCAGGGATCTTACAACATTTTTTTAAAAAAAAGAATAACATTACTCTGGGCAACACCATCCCAGGAGCGGAGCTTCAAACTGAATAAAAAGGTGTGATGGCCGTTCTCAGTCATCAACTTGCCCACATCTGGAATTAGCTAGAACCAAAGTGGCTGCTGGGGAGGATTTTTCTTAATTACATCGTTTGAGGTGGGAAGAACCACCCTAAATCTAGATCTTTTGAGGTTGGAAGCTTCACCTTTAATCTGGGCCACCTCTTCTGCTGGCCACGTATATAAGGGACATGAGAAAAGGAAACTTTTTCCCCCCACTTTTCCTTCCTTCCCCTGTTCTTGCTGGCGAGTCTATTCCTTCACTCGCGTTAGAAGCCCACTTCTTCAGGATTCTGGCATCTACTGAAAACCAGACGAGACATCCAGCCTCACGCACTGAGCAAGTACTAGATTCTTGTACTTTCCATTGGTAGACAGCCATCATTAGACCAGCTGGACCTCAGCCTATAAGCCACTCTAACAAATCACACACACACACACATTATCATTTGTTCCTCTAGAGCAATGGTGGATAGTGGCCCCTTTGGGGATCAAATGACCCTTCTGCAGGGGCTGCCTAAGACCATCAGAAAACACAGATATTTATATTATGATGCATAACGGTAGCAAAATTAAAGTTATGAAGCAACAATGAAAATAAGTTTATGGTTGGGGTCCCCACAACCTGAGGAACTGTATCACAGGAACTGTGTCGCAGCATGAGGAGGGTTGAGAATCCCTGCTCTGGAGAACCCTGACTAATACAAAGGAGAGAGAACCGGGCAGCGGCACTCATCTCTCTCTGCTTCCTGCCTGCTTTCCTGACTGCAGTTTGAAGAGCTGCTGTACACGCCTGCCGCCATGCCCGCCCCACCTTGACGGACTATACCTGCAAACCGCAAGCCACAGTAAACCCTTAAGTTGCATTTGCAACAGGGAAAACAACTAATGTGCGTGATAAGGGTGTGGCGGACGGAAGACGGCTGGAGAGGAGAGAACTTGCAGAGACCGGCAAACCTCGCAGAGTGCATGCCAGGGTTAGGGATGGGAAGGTTCAGAGGGCTCTTGAAGGCATTTCCCTCTCAAGAGAGAATCTGGATGTCACTAACAAGCGGGGAGAATGCTAACAGATCTCAACTGTAGTTACTGATACTCCTGTGAGGTGGGGACACAGGTGAGTAGGACAGAGACTTTGGGAACTGAGAGCTGGAAACAGACTGTCATGGCTCTGGCTTCCGTGGTTTCTTAGAATCTATTTCCCTAGAGGAGCACACACACAAGACATTCACACTGTTTTGTGAGGCCCCCAGGCACCCCAGATGGAAGATCACTGACCAGGGCAGGGCAAGGGAGATGGAAGTGGGAACCAGGGAAAAAAATGGAAGAGATCTGTCTTGGTCCTGGGAGGAGGCAGGACAGCCAAGGTGGGAGACTGAAGCATCAGCTGCTGTCCTGGGCACAGAGGGGTCACTGACTTAAAAAGTTAGGTGACTTTCATCAGCAAGAACACAGAAGTCTTTATATAAAGACTTCTTTATATAAATTTCTTTATATGGTATTCAAATTTCTGATTTGTATACTATAGAGACAAATCCAATCCTGCCTTTAAAAAAAAAACAAGTTATTTTGTTTTTAATTATGTATATGTGTGATGTCTGTGTGGGTTTGCACACACAAGCGCAGGTGCCCAGAAGCCAGAAGAAAGCACGGATTCCCTGGAGCTGGAGTTATAGCTGGTGTGAGTCCTGGGACCCAAATTCGGCTCCTCTGCAAGAGCAGTGTGTCGGTTTAAATGAGAACAGCCACCAGAGACTCATACGTTTGAAGGTTTGGACTCCAGCTGGCAGAGCTGTTTGGGAATGATGAGGAAGTATGGCCTTGTTGGAGGTGTGTCACCAGGATCTGGCTTTGAGATTTCAAAACTCCACGCCATTTCCAATGAACTCCTTTCTGTGTTTTGTTGATCAAATGTAAACTCTCAGCTACTGCTCCAGCTCCTGTTTGCCTGCTACTGTGCTCCCATGACCCTGATGGCCATGGCCTCAACCTCTGAACTATAAGCCCTAATGATGTTTCAAGACAGGCTCTCTGTGTAGCTCTGGCTGCCCTAGAACTCACTTAGTAGACCAGGCTGGCCTCGAACTCACAGCGATCTGCTTGCTTCTGCCTCCCAGGTGCTGGGATTAAAGGCATGTGCCACCACCACCCAGATATATATTTTCTTTTATAAGCTGCCTTGGTCATAGTGTTTTGTCACAGCAATAGAAAAGTATCTAAGACAAGCTATGTATACTCTTAACTGCTGAGCCATCTCTCTGGCCCTATTCCTGCTTTCTATCATCATGAAGAAGGAGTCACAGACTCCCAGCTCCTGACAGGGGCTCCTATGTTTCAAGAAGAGAAGCCAAAGACAAGATGTTTGTTGTCAGGGAAATTGGTATGGGCTATACAGGACAGAGGGGTCCAGGCATTTGAGTTGCATAAACCAAAATCCAATGTCTGTGACACTTGCTTCATGGTGAAGTTCATAGCACCCTTCCCTGATGATGGACACCTTTTGCAGTCTCTTGGGCTGAGAGCTGCTCGTTCACCCTATTTTGTACACAGCACTTGCTGCAAGATGAGGTGGTTTCCTAGTCAGTGAAGCTTGGAAGATGATTTGAGATGCCTGCAATGGTTCAAAATGGATTTTCATCCCATAAATGTCACTGGCAGCAACTGAAGGCATCTTTAGAGGCCGAGGAAGTGGCTTTGCTACACAAGCGTGAGGACCTGAGTTCAGATCCAAGCATTTGTATCAAGTGTTGTGTGCAGAGGTAAATGCTTGTAATCCCAACGCTTAGGAGGCAAAGATGCTCCAACCCCTGGGGCTCACTGGCCAGCCTATCTAAATTAACCAGCAAGCTATGATCCCAGTGGGAGATCCCGTTTCAAACAAACAAAAAAGATGGATGGATGGGCTGCAGAGACATCTCAGCGGTTACGATCACCTGCTGCTCTTGCAGAAGACCTAAACTTGGTTGCCAGCAGCCACATGGAAGCTCACGACCTCCTGTGACCCCAACTCTAGGATATCTGATGTCCTCTTCTGGCCTCCAAGGGAAGATACCTACATATGCACATAGACATACACATAAAGAAGAAAATCTTAAAGATGTTTTAAAAGATGGACAGGTGCTGAGGAATGGTACCCAAGCACCTCTGGTTTCCACATATACATTCACATATGTACGTGTCCCACCCATGAGTAAACCCAGAAACACACACACATTTCTTTGATGGCTATAGTTTAATTTGCATTTTCTTTATAGAGAGAAAGAGACAATATTGGCCTACCTCCCCGTGCCCCCCCCCCAACCCTTGAGCTCTCCCTCCTGGCTGGCTTGCCTCTCTGATGTGGCTTA